GCCGCCGAGAGGGAGAGTTAGGGGCAGCTCCGCGACTGGAAGCGCGCGGCCGGCCAGAGGCGGTGCGTTCAGGCCACGTGGGCGCAGGGGATGCGCGTGGGCGTCTGTGTCCGGGTGTGCGTCCCCTGCGCGTGGGCGGCTCTGAAATGTTGGGTGGTGGAGTGTGTGTGTGTGTGTGTGTCCACCCTTGCCAGGCTGTCTGATTCTACGTAGCCCAACTCATCCATTCATCCATTCATTGAACAGTCTGCTGAGTGCCAACTACGTGCCAGGTTCTGCCAATATGAGTGGGTCTCCACCCACCAGAATGACTAAATGAAAATGACAGACCATACCAAGTGTAGGCGAGGAAGCCGAGCAAGTGGAACTCATATTTCTAGGGGGTGTGTAAATTGGTAGAGCCACTTTGGAAAACTGGCAGTTTTCTAATGAAGCTGAACATACATGCTGGCCCTGTGATCCATCAGTTCCAATCCTAAATCGTCAACACCCAACAGAAATACACAGCTATGAGCACCAAGAAGCATGTAGCAGAGAATTCATAGCACCGTTCATAATAGCCTCAAACTGGAAACAACCCAAATGCCCATCAACAGGAGACCGGAAAATGAATTGTAGCCTATTCACACGGTGGAATCAGTGAGAATGATTGATTCCTGCTACACCCAACAACGTGGACAAGTCTCATGAACAAAATCTTGAGTCAAAGAAGCCAGACACAAGATTCCATTTATATGAAGTTCAAAAACGACAAAACTAATTTATGGTGTGAGAAGGCAGGATAGTGGTCACCCTGGGGGTATACTGACTGGGAGTGGCTAAGAGGAGGGTTTCTCCAACCAGGTCCTGTTCTGTTTCTTGATACGGTGCTGGTTCCCTGGGCATGTTTACTCTGTGAAAAGTCATCAAGCTGTATACTTACAATGTGTGCACTTTTCTGTATGTATATTCTACTTCAGTAAAAAGTTTTCTTAAAGAAAATGACTGTGTCTTGGTTGATTTTATTGGAGGCTGTGCTTGTCAGCAGAGCCCTGGTGGTGCAGTGGTTAACAGCTTGGTGGCTCCTTGGAAACTCTGTGGGGCAGTTCCTCTGTGTCCTATGGGGTCGCTATGAGTCGGAGTCGACTCGACAGCAGTGGGTTCACAGGTGCTTGTCAGCAGATGTAACCATGTCTAAATTTGTGTTTCTGTGTGTGTGTGTGTGTGTGTGTGTTACAGGGGTATGTCTGTTGTGTCTGTGCTGTCATGGGCGCATGTCCAGAGGGCTTAAGTATAGCAAGGTGGTTATGAGAGCATTTCTGGAGCCAGACTGCTGGGGAGAAATCCCAGCTCTACCACACACAGCTATGTGGCCTTGGACAAGTCCCTTATCTCTCTATACCTCTATTTCCTTATCTATAGAATGGGGGTGATAATATTACCTTCATTATTAGGTTGTTATAAGCATGAAGTAAGTTAATACATGAGTTACATGTATAGCTCTTAGAACAGAGCTTGCACATAGTAAACCCTCAATAAATGATTAGCTGTGGATAAAGAGTTGCAGCCTCCATGGCACCTGCTGTGCCCTCTGCCAGTTAATCCCTTCATTCCTTTATTCTGGCAGTTGTCTTCTCATGTCAACAGACACGCAGCCCTTTTGCTCACAAACTCCATTGTCTGTGGTCTCTCTCATCAGACTGTGAGCACCTCAGGGGGGCTGAGACCCATATGGATCATACCAGTGTCCCAGGATCCAAAGCAGAGAAGGCACTCTAGAACAATCTGTAGGGGTAAGTGTGTGCAGACCCTCCAGTGTCTATCAGCACCAGGTTAGTGGGGTTCCGTGTGGGTGTGACCCGCCGCACCTGTTGCTGAAGCTTGTTTCTGTGTGAGAATGAGTGTCTGTATGCATTAACCTTCAATAGACGCATGTGTGTGTGTCTGTGGAGTGAGGTGAGATGAGGTGATGTGTCTCCCTCCCAGTAGGTGTAACAACCAGCATGTGCTTGAAGAAAGGAGAATCTGAATATCAGTTGACAATGAGGCTGTGCCCACTGGGTGGAACGCATATAAGATACGGGTGTGGTGTATGTCTCGGTAGCTGTGCCTCCAAGTCCTAGAGACTCCTACCGGGACATCCCTCGCACCTAGCCCCCCTTTGCCCCCAAGAGGAAGGGTTTGCACACCCTGTCCTGCCAGCCCCCCAGCCTCCCTCTCCTATCTCCTAGTCCCAGTGCCAGGCCCTACCCTAGGTCGGTGCCTGAGCCTCCCCCTCCTGGCGGGACTCAGGGCTGCTTCCCATGCCCTGGCACCCTCAATCCCAGGTCCCAAACACACCGTACCAATAAACTGCTTCTCCCACTCAGGTCCCTTCCCGGGTTAGGCCGCACAAGCTGGGAGCTGAGCTCAGGGCCAAGGAATCTTGCTGGGGTGGGGGGGGGTGTTTGGGGTCTGGACCCTGATTGGCCGCGCACGAGCCACGCCTCTACCCCTGTCCCCCTTCTCCCGCCTCTGAAGGGGGGCGTGGAGGTAACCGGGATCAGCCAAAGGCCGGCATGAGCCAGAGGGAGGGAAGTCTGGGTAAGGGGCTGAAGGGCCAGATACCGGGTCACCGACGGGAGCAGGGGTCAGAAGGTCCGGGAGCTAGGGTCAGAGTCTCCGCCACCCCTGGGTCTGGGATGGGAGCAGCCTGGGCGCGGGAGCTTACCCTGGTGTCAGGTAACGAGCGGGTGAGTTGTGGGAAGGGAGCAGGCGCCCGGGTTCAGAGGAGGCCTGGAGCTGCGCTTTCAGGGACCTGGGCTCAGCGGCCTGACAACCGGTTCGAATCTACCTGGGGGAGGACTAGAGTCGGGGCAAGGGGCTGGACGCCTGGGTCCTCTCCGAGTCTCGGGATATAGTCAGAGTTTGGGGCCAGAGGGAGGAGTAAAGTTGTGGAAGGAAGTCTTTGGGTCACAGGAGTTAGTGCGTTGACAACAGGAAACGAAAGTCTAGGCAGCCGAGGACCGGTACAAGCAGTGGGAAACTCAGGCGGGGGGCGGGGCGGGAGGTGCTGTGTCTGGACTACAACCCCCAGCATGCATCTGTGGGCGGGGGGCGCTGTGCGTCTCGGGGAATGTAGTCCTCCCTCTCCTGGGGCGCCACCCCGCGGCTTGTGTCCCTCAGGGCGGGTCGCTGATTCATTGTGCCGCCCAGGGCCCATCCCAGTGTCTTGCATAAAAGCGACATCAGAAAGCGAATGGGACTTGGGTCTCTGGATCTGTAAAATGAAGGAGCTGTTTCCTTATAGGCCCATTTGGATTTGAAACGTGTGCTTCAATGATGTTGAATTCTGCTAATAGTTATATTGAAGTACAGAAATAGATGTCAGCCCTGCCTTTTCAGGGATCCCAGGCCGAGGCAGATACACACAAATAATTATAATCTGCCATTAAAAGAGTTACCTGGGAAGTATGAGCAAATGGCTTTAAGTTGAAGGAAGAAGTTAATTTGAGAGACAGGTGAATCTGGAGGCCACACTGAGAAGGTAGTTTTTGAATGTGACCTTAATTCGATTTCAACAGCAGTTTGGGCACAGGGAACACATTTCAGGTAGAGCAACTGCTTGGAAAAGGTCTGGGGCCCCAGGTGGTATGGGACAGACTCTGCCGGGCTTAAAAATGGGAAAATTCAAGCAGAGCTGCTGGGTTTAGGAAGGAGGAGCCAGCCTCGGAGTCGTCAGGGAGTAGGGGTTTGAGCTACCCTTATTCCTCCGCCCTTTCCCACCAGAAGACCCCAAGGCTGACTCCTCAGTCTCACTCCTTCCCCACCTGGAGGCCAAGATCCGTCAGACTCACAGCCTTGCCCGTCTCCTCACCAAATATGCTGAACAGTTGTTCCAGGAATATGTGAGTAGGGGTGGAGCTGGAGAGTGTTGGGGAGGTCTGGGGCCTAGGGAATCATGGAGAAGCACAGATCACAGGAGTCCTAGACCATCCATTTTCTCAACCTCATTTCCCAGTTGCCATATGAGGACCCTTGAGAACGACAGTAACTTGCACCTGGCCACCCAGAAAATCGGAGGAGGTTCCTATATGTGCCCCAAATGCCCCTCTGTCCTTGTTGCCTTGGAGGCTGCCTCTTCATAGCTTTAAGTCAGCGGCTACCAGAGAGAGTGACGAGAACATTGATCTGAGAGTCAGGAAGACTAGGCTCTTGAGATCTCATCACCTAGCCTCCATGAGCCTTGGTTTCCCTAGCTGTAAAAGGAGGCTGTTGAACAAGATGAGCTGTGAACTCTTTTAGCTGGATATTCAGAGAGGTCAGTAAGCGTTTTCAATCTGGGGCAAAAATTCCATCTCAAGAGGGGATTTTTACAGAGGAGGGGTATCTGCTGATATCTTTGGTTGAGCAGAAGGCCCTGCCTAAGGAAAGAAGATGTTTACCCAAAATTTCCCTGATGTAGTAGACGGAAGCTATAGTTTGGAATCAGACAGACCCAGACCTACCAACTTGCTAACTATGACATTAGGCAGTAATGATAATATTAAAATAATAATATAATTATTATGACTTGGGATAAAAGAGAGAGAACTGGCTTTGCAGTCCTACCAACTTCGGTTCACCTTCCAGCTTTGCCACTTACTAGATGAGTGATCTAGGGCAAGTCACTGTACCTCTTCAGCCCAGTTTCCTCATTTACAAAATCATCATCATCATCATCATCCCACTCATTACTGGGAAGATTTGAATTAATATGTTTAAAGCAACAAGCACAATGCCTGAACTGGAGGCAAGAGGTTAGGAAAGGATAAATGAGGGGCACAATTCAATCCGTAACAGGAGGGTAGCGGAGAAAACTGAAATAGACTTGGTCCCTGCAATATCTCATCTGCTAAGAAGACAGGACAGCGAGGTGCTCCCCATTTTGTAGATAAGAAGACTGAGGCTTAGGGAAGGAAATCGTTTTTGCCCTAAACGGCACAATTAGTAAGTGGTGGAGACCGGACTTGAACCTGCTCTGTAAGATAACACCACTGAAAGACTAACATTTATGGAGCCCTTCCTATAGGCCAGGCCCTGTCTTAAGCACTTTACATGCGCATAATTCCCTTATGAAGTTGATACTATTATTATCCATTTTAGAGACGAGGAAACAGGCACCGATGTGAAGCTCACATTGTTTTCTGTTGCTTTGTATTCTCTCAAACACAGCAGCCCTGTGAGGGAGGATTTATCATTTGCGAGATGAGGAAACTGAGGCCCCCCGGAGAGGGTGGAGGGCTCAGTTAAACGTGGAGGAGCTCCCGCCCCGGCCGTCGGCGCCACTGGGGCCGCTCCAAGCGGATCCCTACTGACCGGCTGGCCGTGTCTCCGCAGGTGCAGCACCAGGGAGACCCATTCGGGCTGCCCGGCTTCTCGCCGCCGCG